AAAAAAAAAAAAAAAGGAAGGCTGTTGACTTCAAAGAGCTTACGTTCTAAATATCTCTTGAAATAATCTGCTTAAGGAGAACACTAAAAGTACTATTTCATAACTTTATGAATTTGACTCCAAAAAAGTGCCTTTGATATGCAATTCTAATCTTAATTTTCCTGTATCCATCTGAATTCTATTACATCTAGCTGCCTTGCTTGAATTCCATAGGTTGCAATATGTTGTTGGAGAGCAAGGCCTCTTTCTAGTATTCTAAAACTGCTTACCTGACACCAGGCCTTTTAGGCTTTATTCAGCCAGCTTTATACTTGTTGAATTCTTTTGACTCTTAATGCTCTTTGCAATCTTTTACTTTGTCACTGTCTTTTTGTTAATGAAGCACCCTCAACTCCACAATAGTTAAAGATACATTTTATCAGAGCTAAGTAAAAAAGGAAAGAAATTCACTGCTCTGACCATTTAGACTGCTGTGTCACGTCTTCTGCCTTGTTGCTGTCAGATTATGAAGTCATTTAGTTTTTTGCCTGTTGTCAGCCCTTTCTTTTTCAAATCCATTATCTCCTTCTACATTTCTCCCTTTCCTTGAAATGTCTGTGGTTCAAATCCCCACTCCCTCACCAGAAATTATTTGTCATGTTCCAAAATTGGCAGCATGATATTATGGAAAGAACATGGTCTTTAGAATCAAATGAATCTGGATTCAGATTCAAACTCTGCCAGATAACTAGTTGTTAGATCCCGGGAAAGTTCCCTTACCTCTCTGAGGCTCAGTTCCCACATCTGTTGACGGAGTATGAGGATACATACATAGAGTTATGGTGAGAAAGAAATAAGATAGCATCGGAAAAATTTTTGGGATAGTGCTGGACACACAGTTTACCCTTTTGAATGCTGTTTTGATTTTCCTTTTTCCATTATCAGTATCAGATATTGTTTTGTTATTCATCTATCTATGGTCATGTTTTTCACATTTGCTGTGATCCACAGATTTCATTGCTTTGTTGTTTATTTCTCTTCCCAGACATTAATGAAGATTGTAAGTAATGCTTTGTCAATACCCATTCCTGAAATCTCTTACTAACTTGATTTACTATGGCTGCTAACCAAAAGGTCAGCACTTTGAATCCACCAGGCGCTCCTTAGAAACTCTGTGGGGCAGTTCTGCTCTGTCCTATAGGGTCACTATGAGTTGGAGTCGACTCGATGGCAGTGGATTTTGGGTATCTTATCATACAGTTATATATATTTTTGACAGTTTTTGTCACAGTATTATATTCATTATATCATGGCACTAAACCTGATTGGCAATATAATGTAGCATAAAAATTTTACAAATTTTTTTCAAACGCTTCTCTGAAATCCAAAGGTATTAAGTATGTTTGCTGTATTCCCCCCCTTTTTTTGTAATTTCATCTTAAAAATCAAAATTCTAAAGCATGTTTTAAAATAAATAGAACAGT